CTCACCTCCGGGACAGGTATAGAATCATAGAATCATCTGAGTTGGAAGGAATCCCCAAAGGCCATCTAGTCCAACTCCCCACAGTGAATAGGGACACCTACAGCTCAGAGCCCCATCCAGACTGATCTTGAATGTCTCCAGGGACGAGGCATCCACCACCTCTCTGAGCAACCTAAGGTGCTCACCACCCTTAGTGTAAAAACCTTTTTTCTTATATGGTCTAAATCTCCCCTCTTTTAGTTTGAAACCATTTCTCTTTGTTTTATCACAACAGACTTTGCTGAAGAGTCTGTCCCCTCCTTTCTTACAGCCTGCTTCTCACACCTGCGTCTTTTCTCTATATTTCAGTTGACAATGACCCACATTTCATCATATACCTGCCCAAGAGCCAGAGGAACATCTGCTTTAATATCAACTCAGATCCTGGACATATCTTAAACTTGATTTCTGATCGTAGTACTGGTAAGGGAATAAAAAGTACAGTTTACATTACAGTATGATTTTCCTTCCCTCAGGTCTGAGAGGTGTTGAAAGAGAGAAGGTGAAGTGTCTGAAAGGAGGATGCATGGTGACCTGAATGAGGCAGCAGGTGGAGGGAAGTGGTTATTTCCCTTCACATACTGTGAAGGGAACATACTAGTACTGTGCCTAGTTTGAGGCTTGCCAGTACAAGAAAGATGTTGATATACTGGACCAAAATGAGTGGCAGCCACAGAGATGATTATGAGGCTGGAGCACAGGATGTAAAAAGAGACACTGAAACAGCTGTGTTTCATCAGTCTTAAAAAAAAAGAGACTCAAAGTGAATCTTGTTGCTGTCTACAACCACTTACTCAGAAAACAAACATAACCAGAGTTCTTGGAGATGCACAGCAAAAGTACAAGAGGCAATAGAAATGAACTGATACATATAAAATACAGATTAGAGATGATTAAACACTAGGAAAAAAATTATCACCTTAGATTTAGGCAACATCTCTGCTCTTCACAGGAGTCGTTGTCAATGGACAGCTAATTGGGGCCAAGAAGGAGGAGAATAAGAAACTCAACACCTACTTCGGCAAATTTGGTTTTTATTTCAAAAATAAAGGCCTGAAAGTAGAGATCGACACAGAAACCATAACGCTGAAAGATGGATCTTATAGCATCATGTTGTCCTGGTCTGACACAGGACACATCATTCGGAAACAGTAAGTTGCTGAGCATTTATTGTCTGCCCTGTGCAACTTAACATTGGGCTTACCCAACCCTGGGTGAGATACAGGTTGCAAGGTGCCTACCTTTGGGCACATGCACCTTAGCTGAAAGTCTGAATTCTCGTTATGAATATTATGAAGTTAATGAAGACTAGACAACAGGGCCAAGGACGTGATTCAGTTGACCAACCAGAATTAGGAAAAGCTGTATTTCTTTCTCTGCTGCTGACTACATTAAGAACCAGTTGCCTAAACATAAGCATCCTGTGTAATTTGAGGTGTCCAAGGGGCTTCTGACATGACTCCAAACATCCACACCCTCACCTGCAGAATGAGAGTAAGCAGCAAAACTGGGCACCCTACAGCACTGGACCCTTATTTAGGGAATGGGATCACTTCCTAAATTTCCATTCTTTGTAACAGGAGCTTAGATTTGTAGGGCAAGATTTGATTGTGTGAACATGGGCATGAAGTGTCCTATTAGACACCATCCTTCCAAACCTCTGGGTGCTGTGAGTTTCTGTTGTCCTATCAGCTCCATGTAGCTGATGCATTAGAGCATCACATGGGGATCGAGCACTTACATGTGACCAGCTGAACTGAGCCCTCTCTTTTGTTTTGCCTCTGCTAGGCTTCTCATATCAGTGAAAAAAGAAAGCAACGTTACTATCAGAGTGGGTGAGGAAATGTCCTTCATGGTTTTGCTGCACCGTGTGTGGAAGAATCACCCAGTTAACGTTGACTTCCTGGGAATCTACATCCCCCCTGAAAACCAGTTTTCTCCTGAAGCACAAGGGCTGATAGGTAAGGACTGCATGTTGGGTGAAGGGGGACACTAAGAAGGATTACTGCTAGGGTGAATCAGATGGCTCTGGGATTGCTGTAGTGCCTGGGAAGCTCCAAGAACTCTATAGAGCATAAGCAGTCAGGAGGTTATTCTCAGTGACGCTGTTATGGGGTTTTCCCAGCTTGGCTGTTCTGTTGTGACTTGAAGAAAAAAAAAAAGTGAAACAAACTCCTCAAACCTTCTTTTTGTATTGAAGTTTTTAATTCAGCTCTCCCTTGAATAGCACTGCTGTTCTGGCAAATAACACAAAAGAAAAGCAAGGGCTTAGTCCATAGAGAGAAACAGCCCTTCGAGCCCTGGACCCACCCAAGGCTCCCTTTAAGATGTGGGAACCCTATGCAGCAGATTGTTTTCCCAAATACTCTTCACAGCCCCAATCTGCTTAAGTAGAAGTTTTCTGGCTCAGAAGCGGAGCTTTTTACCCTCCCCATTTGGTCAGTCCTTTAGTGCTGGAGACAAGATGCTGTGATCCATGCAGGAGTGGTTTGCCTGCTGCATCCAGTTTAGATTTTTAAAAGTGCCTACCATCAGCTTACATCACAGCCATGGAGGTTAGAACATGCAAAGAGCTTTTAAATCTCTTTGATCAGGTCAGTTTACATCTGAACCAGAAGTGTATATCTACAACCAAAGACCTGGGCAAACTCCAGAGAAACCACAAGCCACCATGGAAGTGAAAGGAAACAAACTCACTGTTACTAGGTAGGAACAATGTGCTTGATTGCTCTCTTTATGACTTTCTTCTCTTTTTAATTATCTCACTGACTGCAGGCTTAATTAAGGATCTTGGGGATCCACTGCTTTCGTCTGCTAACAAATAATCTGTCTTTAGCTGTTGGCAAAACACTTGGATTCTTTTGTATTTTTAACATTGCATGAGCAGTTCTGGTCTTGTAGCTGTCCAACCTTAGCTGTGTAGAAGTACCTGGGCTGCCCACAAAAGGGCCCATCCAGTCACAGAACTGTGAAATTCACTGCATTCTGCAATTGCTTCCACTCTGCACACATTCACACTTTAGCAGAGAAGTACTACAAGGCAGCAGGATTAACAATGTCTTGTCTACTTGTCATGACTCTCATTTTGGATGGCCTCTTCCTCACAGGGGACTGCAGAAGGACTACAGGACAAACCGTGTGTTTGGGACCGACGTGCAGTGCTGGTTTGTGCACAACAGTGGGAAAGGTTTCATAGATGGCCACTACAAAGATTACCTTGTGTCCCACCTGTACAGCTTTTTGAAGGAACCCTGAATGCTCAAGCTAAACCAGTTTATTATAGAAAATTCTTCTCTGCTCCTTCACACCCAGACTGGTAGCTGCCAGCCTTCCAAGCCAGACTGACCAAAGGTGACATCACCAACATTTCCTTTATAAGTGATCAGTGTTTCAAATGTAACTCCCTCTTCCATTCAAAAATTAAATCTATAATAAACTGACATGCTGGACTGTCGGAGGTATCTTGTAATAGCCGTGTCTAACAACCACTAAAGTCAGACTCCATTAGAAATTTCAGCTATTTTGTAATACACATCTCACAGTATACTTATAATAGCATTGTGGCATCTGTAATCTCGGTATCATACACAACCAGATTTAAAAAAACTCATGTTTTTCAATTTTTGTCCTTTCGGAGAGCAGGGAAAATGTAAGTTCATGCATTGCTGAACTTGGCAAAAAACAGCACGGTTAAGATAAGCCCAGCCAGGATGATGTGCATTACATACCTCACAAATCTAACAGAAAAGGAAATTGGGATCATGAAGAGTCCCTAGCCTTTACAGATGTGCTAACCAGTGGTCAGAATTTCCTTGTAATAGCTCATGCTACTACACTGCAGGAAAATAAATTAGGTGAGCCCAGAATATCTTGTTTTAGTTTTGGTAAACATTTCAGCATCACAGTGAAATTCTCACCCAAATACAGAACTGGGGAAGTAGGATAAAGAGCCTGGAATTCAGACTACATAGAAATCACCAGCAGTAGTAAAAGCTTCACTTCCAGGGGGATCAGTTCCCTAAAAGTGTCATACTTTTCAAAAGTAACAAATGAGATCAGTAGTGAAACAACCATACGCATGTATGTACCTAGAGTTGGATTTAAAACTCTGCTTTCACAGGCCACCTTAGGAAAAAAAAATAAGAAAATGCTGACCAGATTCTTCTCAGCAGCCCAAATGTAGGACAGGCACTCCAGTTATCTAATTGCCTTCCTATACTTTGGTGCCCTTTGCCTGTGAACCAAAGACTGGTATGCATCCTTCTTTCAGTTTTGTTGTCAGGAGTGTGTGGATTAATGCACGTTGAGTATCTCAGTATCAATTCTCAGAGGCATATGCGTGTCTTCTGCCTTAAGTTCCTTTCTGCATAATTGTCCATTTTTTAGATACTGCATTACTGCTTGACTTGTAGTTGTGCCTGGGATCCCTGGTAAGCCATTCAAATCCTCCGTGTGAGGTTATTCCAGACTGCAGCTCTTTCATTCAACCTCTGCAGTCTTTCAGTTTTCCTGCAGGGGTCCCCTGGAAACCACGAATCATGGTTCTCTGAGGTAAAGCAAGGGACAAGAAATGGTGAATTTGACGCTGGCAACCTGAACTTTTAGACTGCACTATAACTGGGGTACACATCCACAACAGCACCCTGTTCAATTCAGCTCACTAAGGAAGGGGCTGAGTGGCTTTTCTTTGTGAAAAAAATGCAGTCTTTTGAAAGGAATTTTGCTCAACCACACAACACTGCTGAGTTTGCAGGGAAATAAAACTCTACCTTTCCCAAATGAGCACTGGTTACCTCTTCTCACCTTCCCCAACTTCCTAGGTGTCAGCTTTCCCAAAGGCTCCACAGGAGTCAACACAGCAGCTCCACACAGCTAAGATCAGCTCTGGAAGGCACAAGATTATCAGTTTTCTTGCCATCGAATTCCAGACACGCACAATAATAACCAAAGGCAGTCTGAACCACAGGTGACGGTCTGTATTTCGCTTGGGAAAACTTGCACCTTTCTTTTACAAAAATAAGGCAGTTACACCAATTGGCCATTTTACTGTGCTCTTCAGTGGATATAAAAGAACAGAGTGCTGCCCCTTGTGTATAAGAGGCTAATTAGGAAATTAGCTCTGGCCTAAGATAAGTTTATGTTTATTACTGAACATTCCTTAAAAATAAAATTCTGTATAAAATGTGACATTTAAAAAAAAATTAAAAAATAATGTTACTCATTTACCATCCACAGCAGTGCAGGGGAAAACAATGGAACTATGGACAAGGGAAAATGCTCTGGAAAACCAAAACAGTAATTGCCAGTTCATATCTGCACAGACTTAGGCTGGAATGCTAGAAGCCCCACAAGTAACATCCATTTCAGAGCCCATAAGCAGATAAATTGTGTATAAGCATTATTAGGAGCCCTGAGAATGAGGTGATGGAAGTCTAATTATGTGGATTCTACTACAGCTGATAAGTTAACTAAAAATAACTTGGTGACAACACTTAATAAAGCAGACCCTTCTCACAAAATCCAGGAGAAGAATCCCTGTTACCTTCTGCTATTCTCTTAATCCTTTCCCTTGTTCCTCCAGTCAGAACTCAGTTTTGGCTGCAAATTGAGAAGTCTGCTGTTTAAAATCCATTGGCTCCAACACACATTGCCTGCCTCAAGCAGCTGTTGTGGACAGTTCTCTGCCCTACAAAACTTTGCACATACTTGAGTAAAGAAAATACTCCAACTTGCAGCTGTTGTATTTTGCAAAAGGAAACTGAAAAATTATTTAAAAACTTTGAAAAAGGATCAGATGGAGTATTTCCACCAATAAGAATTCCACAAACATTTTATGTAACAAATCTATAGTGATCTTTAAATAAATTCAATTTGCTCTTGGTTATTCTCTATATACATTATAGATACATATACACACAAAGTTAAAACCCTGACATAGTAGAGTCTCCTGTGTCTGCCCACAAGAAGCCAGAAAGATGGTTTGAGGAACCAAAATCTTCTCTGATCCGTAATGAGCACCTCAGGCAAGTTTGGAAATGTCTTCATACTGGATCCCTTCAACTCGGCGTCCTTTCAAAGGCCCCTGGAAAAGAACAGATTGTAAAAAGTAATATCAAAATACAAACTTGTTTGTTGAATTTCCCAATAGAGAACTTAAAGTAACATAGCTGAAGGGGCTGTATCAAATCTTGCCACATTTAGCATTCTTTACGGAGCACAAGTGAAGTGAACAGTACTAGATATCCCAGGCATTAGCAATATTACACAGTGTTGTGCACAGTAAAAGCACAACGGCTACTTTTCTGTTTAAGAGTTCTGTCCAAAAGCCACATATAAGTGTACGCTGCCTATTGTACAGGGCATACATAGCAGAAAGCATTCAAAAAAACTACAGAATTTTGGGTTTTGGGTGGTTTCTTCTGTTTTTAATTTATAGATTTGGAGTTCATGTCAAAGGAGGTAACCTCTATATCTAAGTGCATCAAAACTAGAGAAAAAAAGAGCCATGCTTTCAAGACCAACGTATCATGAGCTTTGGTTCCAACCAAAACTCCTTCTGTGTTTAGGATACCTCCACAATTTCTTCTCAAGTAAATTCAGTGAGTTTCTGCAGCCCTTCTTTGAATGGGATCCTAACAGAGCCTCTCTCCAGCAAGCTGTGTTTGAGAGATTGTCTTCAAGGCAGTACTCTCCCTACTTATACCAGTGAGTTTTAAGACAATTTTGCAGAGAGCAAAAAAAAAGCCACAGATGCAAAGGTGTTCATATGGACCAATTTTAGCCCAGAGAAAGGTGAGACAAACAAAACAAACAAATACAGAAACTAACAAAAAACACCCAAACCACCAATGTAATTGTTAGTTACAAACAAGACAATGGATAAGAATATAGAGCCCTATGTTCACTCTAGTAAAGAGAGGAGAAAAATCACCTCCATGCATTTTTCACATTTTTTACCTTCCCACAAAATAGTGCAACTACATCTATATTCAAAATAAACACAGAGAATATTTTGCTAGTCTCTTTCAAGTTAAAAACTCGCCAAATTCAGCATATTGGTGTATTTTAAGAGGCAAGCAGCACAGCACTAGTCTGCAGTGGCGAACAAGCAACTGTTTTCCTACTGGTTGGAAATAAGTGGCTGAGAACAGCATTTTGTACTATAAATCCCACCTGTAAAACAGGATTAATGATAGCATCTTTGTGAAAGCTCTCCAACATACAGATGAAAAGTGCTCTATGCAAAATAGATCTTCCAGGTTTTTTTATACTTACAGAGTCAATGATGATTGTTGCTGAAAATTTCTTCTCATTGATAGATTCCAAGATGCCTTCATTTCCCCTGTAACCACCATTTAATACCATAACTTTCTTGCCTGAAATGAGAAATAGGAAAAATTTCCTTTGATGGAGTTGTGTTCAGCTTCAATGACAGCTGAGGGAGAAGTTTCTCTTCAAGCCCCCACCAAGTGATTCCCAGCTCTGCCTCACAGTCTGCCCACTTACAGAGTGCACTGAAGTTTACCACTCTAGGCTATGCTGGCACTACAGCAGAAGCCACTCAAACTACATCAGGGAAAGAATCATAGAATCAGAGAACGGTTTGGGTTGGAAGGGACCTTTAAGATCATTCAGTTCCAACCCCCCTGCTACAGGCAGGGATACTTCCCTCTAGATCAGGGTGTTCAAAGCTCCATGCAGCCTGACCTTGAATGTTTCCAGGGAGGGGGCATCCACAACCCTGTTGGGCAACCTGTTCCAGTGCCTCAAAAGCCTCATATTAAATAATTTCTTCCTAATATTTACTCTAAATCTACCCTCTTCCAGTTTAAAGCAATATCCCCTCATCCTACCTGCCCTTACAAAAGGTCCCTCTCCAGCTTTCCTGTTGGCCCCCCTCAGATACTGGAAGGCTGCTATAAGGTCCCCTTGAAGCCTTCTCCAGGTTGAAGAGCCCCAGCTCTCTCAGCCTGTCCAAACTTGCTGAGGATGCATTTGATCCCACTGTCCACAAAGATGTTAAAAAGCACTGGACCCTGCACTGATCCCTGAGGAATGCCACTCATCACCAGTCTCCACATGAACACTGCTGAGTCATTGACTGCAACCCTCTGAGCGGCCATTCAGCCAATTCCTTATCCAGTGAGTGGCCCATCCATCAAATCCATTCTTCTCCAATTTGGCTACCAGGATGTCGTGTGGGACAGTGTCAAAGAAGTCAAAGTTACTTCCCTCATGTCCTATTCCATATACTAATTGCTCAGTGTGCTTTCTTTCTTCTGTCAATTCTAATGTAAGTGTGGGCAAAGCTCACCCATACTGTTATGCCACCATCAACTGGCTATTCACCAGCTGAAGATGCAGAATGTGGCACGTCTCATGAAAAATCTCAAGATCCTACATCTTGTTTCTCTCTATGCTGACAGTGCTCTGCTTACCGCTACCCTGAATGTTCCCTGAAATACTGATCAGATGCTACACGGAACCCTTAGTATACTACAGTCAAAGAAATACAAGTGAATCAAACAAGAGCTATGTTTTGCCAAGTACCTACAGCTATTTGAGGCATGATTTGGAAGGAAGACACAGGATAAATATGACTAAGAGCTAGAGAGTGCTCCCTGAGAGGCTTCCTGGCAGCTGAAGAGAGATGCTTTCATGTAGTCAAATGAATTGAATCATGAAGCATTTCTATCTTCTGAAGAAGATAATATTCTTACAAGAAGAGAGTGTGAAGGCTCAAAGAAAAAACAATGCAATATTTCCCCAGAAAGTAACCAGAATATACATGGTGAGTGACTAGACTAGGTTATGAAATGCTGTCCCAAGAACAGCACAGCTACTGTTAAGGTAGTTTCAAGTGGATGTTTTACAGTTTAAAAGAACTTAAATTTAAGTTAAGCTGTGACAGCTAAGCTGAAAAATAAAGAACACAAACAGCCATACCTGGTGCTGGTATTACAGTTTCCAGATGTGTCTGATCAAGCTTCAGTTTGTCTCCAGAATCAATCATTTTCACAACTGCTGTATATTTGTCAATCACCTCCTATTGTAAAAAGTACAGGCCAATCAGTGACTGCAGTATAAGAAATAATTCTCTAAATTTACATGTTCAAAATTAACAAATTCAGGAACTTCAGAATACACTTGTACATTTTCAAACGCAATGAAGACTTCTGAGCTGCCCTAAAGGCATCCAACCTCCACAGAGTGCTGGCTGACCCTACTCTGAAGTTAAGGCTAGATTAAAGGGGCTCCTTTTACAAATCAATGACTGATCTCCTTTGTAAACTAAGACCAATAATGTTATTAGTGTTGTCTGGAGGTTTTGTCAAACTTCGGATCAGTTATTTTAGCTATCCTCTCAAATTTGGAGAGTAAATTAGAGAGAGGCTTCTTTCCCTCATGGGAGGATAAACTGGCTTGAAGTCACACAGGGAGAACTGGAATAAGGCCTCTTAAGGAGGAAAAACGTCGCTGATCATCTTTGCAACTAGCATGTCCAACCTCCCAAATTTACAGCTCAGTGAAAGACAGCCACTAGAACTCATAACCTGCTCAGATACTTGCCAAAAAAGCTGTGATTTTAAGTTCTATACACTGCTGTCAATCATTCAAAACACACCTAGATGTTGTCTTCTGCACTTGCCAGAGACTGTTGAGCCTTGGACTACCTGTACATCATTTCACTGGCAGTGGCTAAAAGAAACCACATCTAAACAACAGAACATGGCTTACAGACTGAAGATTTTGTACAGAAACGGGATCTTGCTCAAAAGGCAGTATGCAGCACAAATATTTGTGCAACACTGACTAGTCTCAAATTAAAATACAGCTGCACTGCTCTTGGTCATGTCACATTGGAAAAGTCATTATTACTCTTTGTGGATATGTTAATAGAATAAGCTGTACAGGATAGACACACAAAACAGACACACAGAAAAAAGTCCCAGTAAAGTTACATACAGCTCCTTTCAGTGTAGACTTAAAGCTGAGCACAATTCTGAAGTCAGTACCAGAAAACCTAGTCAAAGCCACATGCTTCCATTTGCACACTTTACCTTAACAACTGCCTTCTTCTTGTGATACTTCTCCCCAAGCTTCTTTGTGACAATTTTTACAATGATTTCCTAGACAATTTGAAAGGAGGAAAACAAAGATTAACATTCTAAAATACACAAGCAACTACACAGTGTAAAGTAATTACATGCTGAAGTCACTCTAACCCCAACCACCAGTAATTTTTCACATTTGGCAGCTTGGAAAATTAGTGAAATAAGCTTGGAATCTGCTTCAGGATCTTTACATAACTCAATCACTAGCAACTGCAGACATGCAGAATTGGTTGTATATTATAACTTCTAAGATACTTACTGGCTGCAACCAGTAGTCTGTTCGAGATGTTCTTTTCTTCTCTTCTTCAAGCTACAGAACAACAAATAAGCATCATTTATTTTCTCCCTTCACTGCAGCCTTCCCATGCCTTCAAAAATCTGAACAAATTCTCCAGTCCCACATCAGGTTGAGGAAAAAAACCAAGAAGGGTAGGTCAGTGTGTGTTTTCTGCATAGCAATCAGTCTGGTGAGATCTAGAAATCCATGATAAAATGATGGGAGATTTACGTTTATTTTTGTCAAGTGATTCTAGGTATTTTCTTCTCTTTCAAAATCTGTATTCCTTTACTTCCACCATCTGGATTGTCAAGGTAATAGGCATAGATGAGCAGCAGAAAGCAGTTTTAAATGGGAAGTGATATAATTTTGCCCAGAAAGACATGAAAGTCTGAATTCCACAAGAACTGAAGGTCTGAGATCGTTTCAAAGAAAAAGTAGACTCACTGCCACAGGCATGGGTTTATACAGACAGAGATTCTTGCACAAGTGTTACCTCCATAATCTCATCCAGTGCAGATTTCTTCTTTTTCTCTTTGGACTGACCAGAGCTATGAGCTGATTCTTTTCTTTTAACTGCTCCTTCTGCCATCTTCAGTGCACTTGGTCCAAGGATGCTGCTGAAAGAGTAAGATGGCGCTTTCACAGCAGACCTCAAATTGTCTTCTCTACCAAGATGCATTTGAAGAACTGGTTGTACAAAAAGGCCTGCTGATCTATTTGATTTCAGTTGTGCAAGTCACCTTCCAGATCTCATATGCTATTCTAGGACTGTGCTTTGCAGCTAGAACTGATCTCCTTGAAGTGTAAATTCCATGCCCACTGATGTTTGCTGCTAGCAGTCCAGCAGAACAAAAACAATCTAATGGTCAGTTCACCAGTGCAAAAGCTAAGAGCTGATTGGGAACTTGAGTTAAATGGTAAAAACAAAAAAAAGTCTGCAAGTAAGATTTTCAAGTTTGTTTTAAATATTTATTTCAAATATTTGAATCAAAATGAGCAATCCTGTAGCTTTAGATAATCTGAGAACTGAGCAAGTCTCCAACATAGCTGAGACCTAGAAATCCTCCCATACCCAGAAAATAAACACTACCTTCACCATCACATACAAAGCAGGCAAATAGCCCATGAGTTACAAAAGGAAAGAGCAATTAGTACAAAAGTTACATCTTAGGGATTGGGGAATACCTAGGTAAAGTGAGAACTGTCTAAAGATAGTCTGAGTTTGCCAATTTTTTATAAAAGCCACGTGGATGCAGTAAAAAATACAGGTGTTTTCTCATTCAGACAGTTGAAGAAGGCTGCTGTGAGATCATTTTATTAAGGCCTTAGAACGGTTCTCATGTTCTGACTGTGTTCTGTGGTGAGGACTCTGGATATACTAGCAAAGGGAGATGTATAATGGGAGTGAGTTACAAAAAGGGCAATAGAAACAAACGTGAGAGGAAAATAATTGTATTTCAGAGGAAGGCAGGATAATCTCTGTACAGAGTTCCAGAAGAAACTGCACATTAAATCATACATCCAGCAGCAAATACATAAATAAAATCTCATACATTACATAATTAAAGCCTGGCATTAAAGAAGATGACATTAAAGAAGGAAAACATAAGATACCTGTGAGGTTACCAAGGGATTCCCAGGTGTCAGTAATAAAACGAATCTTACTTAACATATGCATTAAGGACCCTGAGACAAAGAGAGACAACCAGCACTGCTCAGGTGTGTCATCAGTACAGAGGACACAAGAAAGAATTGGGCACAAGAAAGGACTGGTTCACCTTGAAATCTGTGGTTTACAGAAAACAAAACTAACCAGCATATTATGCAAGCTCACATACTCTGATTAGATTCTATCCACAGGGAACTCATCACTGTCTAAGATCAACAACAGCAGAGAAGGGTCTGACTATAATGACAACTAATAATGTGGACCAACCATTAAAGAGTCAAACTCAACCCTAGCAGTCACATCCTATAGTCTCTTAGTCCAACTTTCTTCACCCTGATCAAGAAATGCAAGTGATAATCCTGGCCAGGATTCTGCAACACCTGCAGTGAGCAGAGAGGTTGGGAAACAAGGAAATCCTGCAACACGCTGCACCATGTGGTATCAGGTTGAACTCAAATGAGCCATATAATAATAACAATAGCCAATGTGTCTCACAGTGGCAGAACACACTTTTACACTGACATTGGGAAGCAGTTTTCATAAACAACACTGAAGTGACTCCTGAACCACCAGTGAAGGAAAAACTACAGGCTGGTCACTTTAGTGAGGCAGATATCCAAATTTTGCTTCTACACTACCATTACAAACTTTACACACAAGTATCTATCATATGCTATGAAAGGTTGGACCTCTTGATACATGATTCCACATTCAGCCAAATTTTTGCAAGCACTTTAAAAAATAGATCTAAGTATTCCTCAGTGAAACTAGTCAAGTGAGTGCCTGTGCTAAGTTCAGGCTCATCTTAAGCACAACTCAAAGCTCAGGAAAAATTTACAAGTATTCCTCAAAGCCTGAAATCTGTCTCTCTTATTGCAAAGAACTTCTTTATTGTCTCATTTTCTGCCTGGCATATATCCCATCAGATATCTTATCTAAAAGCTAAGCTTGTGATGAGAAGCAAGCTTTCGCTTTACTTGCAATGCATTTAATTACAATATTGCCTTACAAGAAAAGATGTACTACTCATCAAACAGTCTCACTGACTTCTATAAGTATTGTTTGCATTATTGACCCCCTTTTCCTGTGTTGCTTGTGGTTATATGACAATTAAATTCATGAGCTTTATAAAGATTTATATCAGGTAGATTCAGCTCCTTTAAGGATGATCAGAGAAAATATTACCTCCAATTAGACAAACCTTTTAGGAACTGAAATTAAAAAGTCATGAATATCCATTCACAGAAGGCAGCTGGGACTTGATGGGATACACTTTAAATGCTTCAGTTAGATCCTCTATCCTTTCACTTACCTGCCTCTTCCCAGAGGAAATTATCACTGCCTATTCATTTCTGGGCATCTGTCATGAATGAACCATAGAAGGCTTCAAGAAGGCTCCTCACAGCAAATATTTAAAATATAAACATTCATCCATTTAAAATACAAGAGGAACCACAACATCACCTAGGATCTCCTCCTGAATAACATGATAGGATGAGACAGTAGACTACAAATATTGCAGGATAAGATCTTCCTACACATACAAATACCACTGACATGTAAGCATTTTGCAAAAGTAGGAGTTACCTTTAAATAATTTTCTTACCTTGTTTTTGAAGATGCTGCTACTGAAGTACTTGCTCCTTTATTTAAATTAAATGCAACTAAAAAAAAAAGACGTTACAATTTAACAATCTGCTAATGGAAAAGATTGTCCACTTAAAAATACTTACTATTTTGTGTTATGGTTCAGCTTTTAAAATAAACTATTTCAAAAATGGCAAGAAATTCTCTGCATTTTCCTATTTTCTGTGCTTTTTGAAACTCATCTCAAAGCACTTCATGAAACACTGAGCAAGCTTTAGCACTCATTTCATTTTAATCACGAAATCAGCTTCAGTTCAAGAAAACAGCATGTATCAAAATCTGGTTACCTTTTTCTTCTTCATTTTCTCTGTTCAGTTCAGTATAGACTGGCTCCTCCTGCCAAAAGAAAACTTAATAGATCTCAAGAGCAAAACAGACAGCTGAGCCAGGATAACATTTTTCAGTGATCGTTGATTGCCTGAATTTTATTGACTACAGTAAGATTATCTAATAACTGTAATATTCAGTCTGGCTTGATTTATAAGATTATAAATTGAAAATAGTTTCTCATTATAGGCTCCTGTGCAAAATTATCTAATTAACACTCTCTACAGAGATGTTGTCTGTACTCGTTTAATTTCAGCATCAAAGGAAAGTGGCCTTACTGCAAGTTTTCTCATTTTGAACAAGCATGATTAGACTGGTTTTTGGACAAACTGATAATCTAAAAAAGGAAAAATCATGGAATCTTTCCAAATTTTTAGTACCAAAGGCTCAGACCATTTAAATTTCAATTAGTTTTAAATTAAGAAAAAGATAATAGTTTACAACAGCATTTAAATATATCTATCAATACCCAGAATCAAGTGGGAGGTCCCAATCCCAGGCAACAACATGCATGGAAGTCAAGGGATAATGCCAAAGAAGTTCTCAAATTCCATGTCAGGACTATCAGAATAAAAACTTTTTATGTGGGGATTTAATTATTTCAGCTTTCCTGGTAATCTTAGCCTCCCTACCATACTTGTTATTTGCAGCCCTAAAAGTTTGAGAAATATGATAAATGAGGACACCACATTGGTTATAGTTTAGTCTCCTATCTTAAATTCAGTATTTTAAAATTGCTAGGAAAACCAATAGTCATTTATTAGAAAAGTAAGTCTGGTACAAAGTAACTCTGTCTTCCTCCAGAGTAAGTTATCATCTTTCATAAATGTTTAACAGAAAATTCAGAACGTAAGTGAAGTAATGTGGTGATTTAAGCAGGGGAGAAGACAGACTAAATCAAAATCTGAAATGGCTAGGACTAGATATAGTCAGTCATAAGGAATAGTTTCAATAAATTTCAAAACAACATAAAATCTAAAAGGAGCTGAAACCTCTGCTTTCCTTTTCTGAAACTGATTCCAAAGAGGACCTTGATGTTTATCTGCTGTAAAAAGCATCAGGTTGGTTATTTGAGGAAATGTAACAAGCAGCAATTTCAACTGAAACAAGGTAGGCAAAATGGGCATGAGAATTATCTGTGAGAAGAATATTTCTCAGTTTAGAAACAACCAACCATGCAGCCACACATACCCACTGTTCCCCAGTTTGAACTAGCAATCAGTTCACCACCCACTGCATGAAGATTACTCATCACCTTCTAGCTGGCTGCAATGGAAATAGTAGTGAAAAGATCACAGGACCATTAACTTAATTGAGGGGACTTTTGAGCTGAAGATTGATATATAATTTTCCTCACCAGTTCTTTCCCCTCCAAACCTCTTCTAACTTGCTGTTCAATAAATTTCGCTGTTTTTTCTTCATCATCAAGGTCTTGTTTCTTCTTTCTCTCTTGTTCTTGTTGCCTGCGAATGGTCTCTGGGTCTCTATCAATGTACTGAATATACCAGCCTTTTGGAGTCTCATCAACCTTACAAAGACCTAAAAACCCAACACAAGACAAAGTAAGATTAATACTAACAAAAACAAGAAAATAACAAAGAAAACCTCAAGATCATTTTCCCAGGCCACATTCACTATAAGAATATAAAAACTTTAGCAGATGTACTTTTACAATGTATCTCTTACCAGACTTCTAAAATAGACTTTAAATAACCTTTAGTAACCATTTATGTCCTTCAGCTAGCTGGTTCTATTTGGAAATGGGTCAAAATATGTAGCAAAATTGGATGGAACATTTAGTATCGCTTTCCTTATTGACGAAAACATTTCCGTCCCATTGTTTTAACAAGGAAGAAAACAGCACTCTAACATATGTAAACACTGCATAGTAATAGCATCAAACTACAGAAAACTTTACTGTGCTACATTATTGTTACTGGCAGTCATTTGAGTGACTTCTCAAACACTCTATGACTCATGAATGTATCCTGTACCACACAGGCAACTGAAATGAAAATCAATTTAAACCTTACATAGCACTCTGGTATGACATAACCCCTGCTTCTCCCATGGAACACAAAACTGCAGATCTCAGATTTGAACCCTTTTATTAGGACAAAAATGAAAACAATATACCACTCTGTGTCACCACAAATACAAAGGGATTCTGCAGTTGTAAGAAATGTCCTATCATAGTTTATACTTTTTATATGACAACTGTTGGAAGTTGACTTAGAATTCAGCAACAGATACAGTAACGACAGGTAAAACAAGAAAAGGTTTATAAGTGATGCATTTATCCCAGATGTCTGCCACTTTTCATAAGGAAATCCCATTGCTTAGAAATGGGATTTCCTTAGAAATCTACTTGGACATGTGTTAATATATATGCAGGAGGGGAGAATAAGGGAAAAAAGGAAACAGGAGAATTAACATAAATGCTTACTGATTACTCATCAGCAATGCAATTACCTAATAGTTTTAAAATGCCATAACCCAGAACAACAATATTTACCTTCTCTCCCCAACCATTTTGTAAAATCAGTCAGTGTCTCCCACTGTGTTGCATTCATGTGGATGTGTTCTCGGTGACTGATATATTCATTGTACACGATATTATTGTGGACTCTCTTTGTTCCTAAAACAGAGTTATTATTAAATGTAAGTATGGGACCTTAGGAGATACCTACGAAAACTTGTTGCACAAAACCAAAAGGCATTAAAAGCAAAAAAAAGAAAAACAGTAAAATATTTACCAAATCGTCTCCTGAGCAGCTCTAGGAAATCATTTCGGAATTCCCTTAGGGGATATAAAGAAAAGTATTTTAACAAAACTTATACAATTACAAAGAAATGTTCTATTGCCAATAATAATGAAATATCTGCAGTATAAACAGGAGTATTCTTTTGAACAAAGCACAATGAAATTCAGACACCTGTTTCCCATTCTCAGTAAGACAGTGTGAAGTGCAGTCTGTATACACAAAGAAACACAGTATGGTACATGCACATACAAGTTTAATCTTCTAAAGGATAATACCCTTTCAAAGGGATAAAATGGAAAGAATGAACTCAAAACACTTCCCACTAATTGCTGGTATTTCATTACCAGGTATCTCCCAAGGTTGACTAACACTGACACAAAACACGAGGCAGAACAAAGGGAAGCACTGGTAGACTGAGTACATGGATCACTCATCTCCCTGCTAATTCAATGGGTTAAAGATAAAGCCTCCCTTCAGCCTCACATTGAAGACATTTCCAGTCAGCCTTGCTGTCGGGTAGGTCAGGTGGACAAAGGGATCAGGGAAACAGTGGGACGCTACTCATACTGCTGACTTCTTATCTCCATGTGATGGTTCTTTTAGCTCTTCGTAATTCTGCAGCTCTGACAGTCACTTAGCTGAGACAAAGCAGTGACATACTTCATAATGAAGAGCAAATGAAAACAGGACTCAGACATGGAATAAAATTATCAAATTTGGGATAAAAAGAAGAATCTGGGGTAAAAATTGCCACATTTGGGATTAATAAAAAATTAAATGAGATAAAACTGTCAAATTTTAAACATCACAGCTCCCTTAAACCTACATGCTTTCAAAAGCAAACTTTTCACATAGCCACTATACAACAGCTGACACTAAAATACATCAGAATAAAGTATCTTCAGTGGGACATAACAGGGCTTTAGAAGTACGGCCATGCAGATTTGACACGTGGATAAGAAAATATAGCAAACTTACTCGGAAAAGTAGTTCAAGAATTGCTGAGGATTTTCAGAAGCCAGCAGTAATTGCCTTTGGTGAGATTCAGACATGCAATGACATTTGAAGCCATTCTAGAAAATAAAGATATATATTTTATCTGCCTTTGTCTCAATTTGCAACACAGAGCTTTAGAAGTAACTTAAAATGATGTTTTCTGAGTGAAATCTCTTGGAGGCTTCACACAAAATACTCAAACCCAAGCACAGTCTAGCAGCACAGGTTGGCTATTCCTCCTGACTAGGACATAACAGAAGTCCTCTTGCTCCTTTGTGGAGTGGGATAGATGTGGCACCACCGGGTCCATCCAGGACCATCTATCCAGGCACACATGCAAAAGAAATACTTGCTGATTTCCTACCTGGCCAATACTGACATCATACGTAATGAGAGGATGGCATCCTAGGAGTGGCCAAGCTATAGATTACAAAAGTTTGGCCACCTCTGATACAGGAACAAAGTCATAAGAGCTTCCCAAATGTACCCAGATGTTGGAGGTTTGGCCATATCTTTTTTTTTTTTTTTTTTTTATCTAATATAACACTCTCTCATCATAACATAATTAAATTTACAGCAAACTTCTTTCCATGGAATCTCCACACTGCTATGAAAAGATGTGGCTGTAAAGGTATGATGCTTTGTTGCTGTAATCTCTGAGAAAAGATTTAGTCTCTTTGGGAGAAAGGGAAAGGGCAGCAGATGAAGAACACAAATAAGATCCTGTGGAAGTCACATTTCTCTTCCAAACGCACATTAAAAGCTTTATTCATGTAGAATGAAAAACCAGAAGCATGGTTATCCCACATGGAGGTACTCTTGGAGCACAGCTCTGGTGAAAATAAGAAGAAATAGAACCCTCAAATCCCCTGGGCATCTGGGTTCAAGTGAACAGAGAAGTGAAAACAAGGGGAAGGATCACAGAAAATCATCTCTTCATAACAGGAGAAGCAGGGAAGAAACAGACAGAATCAGAAGGATGGAAAAGAGACCTTGCTGTGCTCCAGACATGCAAGCCCTCAAGCATGTCCCAGAACCTACCTTGTTCCCAGGAGAAATCACAACTGCCCCAAACTCCTGATGGAATAATTCCTAACCCCACTGCCCTTTCAAGGCTGATCAGTCATCCTAATGGGGTTGAACATCTCTGGAGAAAGCTCAGGACCATTATGCTTTCTCCAAAACACTTCTCCCACAGGAGTAGGGTTCTAGAGGAACATATAGAATCATAGAACGGTCTGGGTTGAAAAGGACCTCAAAGATCATCTAGTTTCAACCCCCCTGCCCTGCCCCAGGTGGTTGGGAACCCCTCAGATCCCACTCAGCTCTTCCCATCATACATGAAGGACCAGGAATACCCCAAAGGAGCACGAAAGCCTGCTCCAATGCTGCTTGAAAGAAAATTGCTGCTCCCAGACCCCCAGAATGTGAGGTCTGGATGCATCCTTGAAGTCAGAGGCCCTACAGAGGGATGTGGGCAGGCTGGAGGGATGAGCTGAGATGAGTAGGATGAGCTTTAACAAGACCAAGTGCCGGGTGCTGCACTTGGCTCATACCCACCCCACACAGTGTGCTCGGCACGCACACCTCCCCTGTGAAGACAGGCTGAGGGAGCTGGGTTTGTTCAGCCTGGAGAAAAGAAGGCTGTGGGGTGACCTCATTGCAGCCTTTCAGTGCCTTAAGGGAGCGTACCAACAGGAGGGGAATCAACTCTTTGAAAGATAACAGCAGGACAAGGGGAAATGGTTTTAAGTTGAGGGAGGGAAGATTTAGGTTGGATGTCAGGGGGAAGTATTTTATTATGAGAGCAGCGAGGTGCTGGAACAGCTGCCCAGAGAGGCTGTGGACGCCCCGTCCCTGGAGGTGTTCAAGGCCAGACTGGATGGGACCCTGGGCAGCCTGGTCTGGTATGAAATGTGGAGGTTGGCGGCCCTACATGTGGCAGGGGGTTTGGAGCTTCATGATCCTTCAGGTCCCTTCCAGCCCCGGCCGTTCTGTGATGACGGAGGACCCCAACGCCGGGGACCGCGCGCCAAACACCGCGCCGCGCCCGCCTCACCTCATCGCGGCACTGCTTCTGGCACATCTGGCAGTACCAGCGCAGCTTCTGCAACCCTTTGGACTTGATGCGGTTAGCGATAGCCTTCGGGCTGAGGAAATCCGACTTCCCCATGGCTCTCCCCCACCTCCTTTCACCCCTTCCTTTCTCGTTCCCGGATGCGGCGCGGCGCCCTCGGAAGCGATCCCCGCGGCGCTGTGCGCATGCGCGGGGCGGGCGCGCTGACCTTCAGCGGAGCTGTGCTGCAGGCGCCGCCATGTTCGCGCGGGGCTCCGCCGTCCTGCTGTACCAGCCGCAATGGTAACGGGCGGAGCCCCGAGCGGGCTGGGGCTGCCGCGCCGTGCCTGTGATGAGGGGTTGGGGAGCTCCGTTCGTGGAGGAGCGGGGGGACGCGGTGACGTGGAGGGCACTCCGTCCTTTTCCGCTTTGCGGGCCCGAGGCTGAGCGCTCAGGATGGTTGGAGGTGGAAACGGGCGCTGAGGGGAAGGGCGCTGTGTGGCGTTTGGGGCTGAGCGGGTGAGGGGAGCGGAGGGCTGTGCGGGTGGCTGGCACCGCACGGACGTCCTGCTGGGTGCTGCGAGCCCCGCTGCTTCGTTGTTTTAATCGTCTTAAAAGGAAAAGAAAGAAAGAAAGAAAAAGCTGTGTTTTCTTTGGGATCTTGCCCTTCTTGATGCCCTGCTTTGTTTTCCCTGCGTTTATCAGTCACACGGGCACAAGGGGGGATGTGAAGGGTTTGTTACAAGGCCTGGTTTGAAGTGTCCTTACTAAGGAATGGCTGTTCCTACGTGTTCGTCTCTCTGAAGAGATCTGACCTTGATTGGTGTTTGTTTGCTGGAGAGCTGATGGTCTCTCCTAATTTCTGCTCCTTTCACTTCCAGGGGCCAAGTCAGGAACATGGCAACTCTGAAAGACAGTAAGTGCTGCCTTTGTCTGCTCTTTACAGAAGGGAAACATATGGAGGCGTTAGGTTAAAGCATGATTTCACTTGGCTTCTGTGGGATGAAGTAATTGTTGTGGAGTGTAACACTGCCTTATGAGCACTTGTATGAAACTTCATAAACTTCTCCCCTTCAGGGGGAAGTGCTTTACTATAGGATTGGTGAGGTTCTGGAACAGGCTGCCCAGAGAGGTTGTGGATGCCCCGTCCCTGGAGGTGTTCAAGGCCAGATTGGACGGAGCCTTGGGCAGCCTGGTAGTATTAAATGTTGAATTTGGTGGCCCTGCCTGTGGCAGGAGAGTTGAAGCTCAATGATCCTTGAGGTCCCTTCCAACCCTGGCCATTCTGTGATTGATAAAAGGCATTTCTTCAAGTCGTTTGATTCTTTGATGCCATGTAAGCAAACCAAGTCCTGTTCAAGCATGTTTTAAAATTAACTTCATCAAGTGTACTGAAACAGAAACAAATTTTTTGTTCATTTTTAAATGAACATAACTTACATTGCTCTTAGTTTCTGTGTTTACCCAGCACTAGAGAATAAAAAGCTTGACTGAACGGTTCTGCTTTGATATTGCTTCTTTAAGTCATTACTAAGGGGTTCTTATGCAGAGATACTGTCTTGTGCTTATGTTTGTTGGACACCTGTTTTGTTTCCGTTTTGCATTAGTATTTTTGGGACACAACCTAAACAGAGGACAACATTTATTCTGTCTATAGCACTAGGACTGGTTTTGTTGTATTTTGCTTTTCTTTCTTTCGTCATGCAGGAAAAGCCAACATACTTCATATTATATATTTGAGAAATAAGTAGAAGAAAATAGTAGAATAGTAGGAAAGAGAATAGCAAATAGATCTTATGTTGAGGTAAATATTAAATAAAATTTATGGTGAGAAATATATATTGTAAAGATGCATTTGGGTTATTGTAAAGATACACTTGTGCAGTTTTGCTGGTGTTAGTACTAACAGCATATCTTACATTTGTGCATCACTTGCTTACTTATATCTTCCTTGAGGAACTTCAGGAGAGATTTCTGGATAGCTGTTGGTTATGTTTTATTGCTTGTTTTCAATCTCTTGTGCCAAATGTAGCCCAATTTTGACCTTCAGCTTTTAACCTTGTTAGTTACCAGGCGTTTGAAGTCCATCAAGAACATTCAGAAAATTACAAAGTCCATGAAGATGGTTTCTGCAGCAAAGTATGCAAGAGCTGAGAGGGAGCTGAAGCCTGCTAGAGTATATGGAACAGGAGCACTGGGTGAGCGAAGGCTCTTGTACTATGTGATGTGGAAATAAAGAAGGGATGCTTTCATGGTGTTGACTTCTAACCTCTTAGCATATTTTTTTCATAAGAATTTGTATCCCCTGCTGCTGTTAACCTTGAGTATTCCTAATAAGTAATTGATGAAAAGTTATTTGTAAGAGTGCTGATGGGAAATTAATTACGATGTCTGATATTTTTTCTTTAGCTTCTTGTGGTTGCTTGGTTGTAGTTTTAAACATAAAAGCAACGTCAATTTTGACCTGCTTCTTTCTGTTGTTCATGAAACTGTGTTGGTTTTCTGTGGTGTAAGGTAGTAATGTTTAAAGATACTGCCAAACCTTTTAAATGCTTGATCTGCACATGCTTCTCAAACACTGCACTTGCAGTCAGTGTCATTATTTAGTTGGAGTTCACTATAATACCTGATGCAGAGATGCAGGTGGCTTTCAATTACTTCTTTATCATCTCTGGTTCAACCTGCAAACTTGAATGATTGTGAGGAAGATAAAAATTCATCTGGCTGTGATTTGAAACCCTTTGGAAATGATTTGTTGAATTTGAAGTCAGTCAAAGATGTTTTGATAGGACAAATTTGCTTCCTGGCACCTTTGAATATCTTGTCCATCTTGTATATATTTTTTTTTTCTCAGCACTGTATGAGAAAGCAGAAATTAAGGCACCCGAGGACAAGAAGAAGCACCTCCTTATTGGTGTGTCCTCTGATCGAGGTCTGTGTGGTGCTATCCATACATCTATTGCTAAAACCTTGAAGAATGAGATTACCAACCTCTCCAATGCCGGGAAGGAAGTGATGGTGGTTGGTGTAGGTGACAAGATTAGAGGACTCCTTCAAAGGTAAAAAAAATAAAAAATAAAAAAAGGGGAGAAGGGTTTTGGTCATTCTGATGTATCATAATTTAACTGAGGAGTCAGGGTGGGAAAGCAAAGTTTCTCCAAGCTTCTAATTCAGTGAAATGCTTAGTTCTTGATCATTAACAGTTACTGCTGCTGCTTGCCTCTTGGTGCCACATAATTGTACGTTAGAGCACCAACTTGTTCCTGACACAAATTTCACGTTACTGCAGGACGCATGGCAATTACTTGCTGATGACATTCAAAGAAGTGGGGCGGAGACCTCCTAGCTTTGGAGATGCTTCAATCATTGCTTCAGAGTTATTAAACTCTGGATATGAATTTGATGAAGGCTCTGTCATCTACAATCGGTTCAGGTAAGATTAAACTGAAGCTGCACTAGGAAGATGTTGAATAAAAGATTTTAAAACAGCATATTGGTTCAATGAAGTAAAATGTGAAAACTGAGTATGTGATCAGATTTTCTTGAAAAGTCAGTGCATTTTCTTACTATGTGTGAAGAATATGTTTGCTGTGGGTATTTTTAATAGATATGGTTGAAATTCTTTTTCTATAGTGTTTCTAAACTCGCTTTCTATAGTGTGTGCTGTTGTATTTACAGTCGGTACATTATTATATTCTTAGGGTATTTGATATCTCTTCATAAGGAGCATAATGAGACTTTGAGGAATTGTAAGGCCAGAAGTTGTCTGTGTTCTGATTTGATATTAAGTGCTCAATTTAGGTTCTTCAGTCAAACAAACATTATGCTATTTCTTTTTCAGATCTGTCATCTCCTACAAGACTGATGAAAAACCTATCTATTCATTTGAAACAGTTGCTGGTTCTGGTAAGTAGTGAACTAGAAAACACCAGATAGGTGAAGTAATAAATCACAGTGAAGATATTCTGCATATGGGAATATGATATTAAATCATTATTGTGCATATATCACAAGTTTAAAAGATGATTTTATCTTGGTAGTCCAAAGCTGACATACTGTGGGGCTGTGGGGAAGGAGAGCTTGTACCAATTTTGAGCTTTTCTCTCAGTCGAGAATTATGCCCGTGCAAAATTGTTGCTTCCGATGTTTTCAGCAACAAGTGGCTTCTACTCAATAAAAGCACCTCAGATGGTTTGTGCAACATTGTGCAGGATCATTAAATACAATATATCAATAATGCTTTTGGCCCTGGTCAGGATCTGAATTTCCTAGTCTTTAAACTTAATTAAAACACACAAAATACATTATCTCTCTGGTATTTAACATTGTATGAAAGTACACGTAAGGCAGAGTGGAGGGATTTTTCATCATGTACTAAGTGGAAAAACACTTAGTAGTTTTCTATATGACATTGTATCGTTAGAATTAGTACAGTCTGCAGTTCTGACTCTGCTCATTCATATTTTTCAGAAAGCCTGAGCATCTATGATGACATTGATGCTGATGTGCTGAGAAACTACCAGGAATTTACACTAGCAAATATTCTGTACTACTCCCTGAAAGAATCTACCACCAGTGAGCAGAGTGCTAGGATGACTGCTATGGACAACGCCAGCAAAAATGCTTGTAAGTCTACTCTGGATTTTCTAGGATTTCAACTCCTGATGTCTATCGTGTTGTTGGTCTGCAGATTTTGATTTCTTGCAAGTTGAGAATATGCTAGTATACCTTCTAAAGTGTCCAAACTGAGTGCACTGCAGTGAATACATGGTTGGTATTGGTGGGCAGTGGCTAGTAGTGTTTAATGTGGCATAATGATATGACTTCAGTTTCAAAAAGATAGTGATGCATAAAAACCTGTGTTAAGCAGTAGGGTTACCTGGAACTGTAAGTGTGGTTCTCTGCTGATCTCTATACCTTGAATGTAGTGATAAAGTCTCCATTAAAAAATATGAAGTGAAAAATGGCTCCGTTGCCATAACAGAACTTGAAGGAAATACTGTGGTTATTGAGGGACATTAACAATGCAAGAATACATTATTGGAATTTATTTAGAAAATGAGTGATGTGCTACCCATGGTATTTACTAGTCCGTTGGCTGTTCTTCAGATGTTTAATTCTGATGCCTCAAGCTAAATTATCTTCTTTCTAGATTGTCTGTTAGTAGTATTATCTGTATGGAAAACTGAAAAGTGGAGTAAGCTGCTTGATCATTCACATGGATCTACAGTTCTGTGTGGTATTCTCTTCATAGAACTTCCTTTACTTGTATTTGAATACTCATTATATGCTTAAATTCAAACTTTAATTTTTCCCTAGCTGAGATGATCGACAAACTGACGTTGACATTCAACCGTACCCGTCAAGCTGTTATTACTAAGGAGCTTATTGAGATCATCTCTGGTGCTGCTGCTCTGTGAGTACCTGTATACACATGAAACAGGAGTAATTGCAATGTCATGTAGTGCTTGTGCCCTCCTTCAGGCAGATTAATGGGGAAGGTTAAGGCATTTAAAAAGCAAGACAATCCATGGCATGTCTTCCATTCTTTTTAGCTTGTGGCAATTTACTAACAAGTGTGAAGTTTGACCAGATATTCTTTAAGAGCTGGTTGACTATATATATCTTCAGCTTTGACACATGCCCTTGACTGAGCAGGGAGAGTGTTTTCTGCTCCTCCTTATTTGCTTTGAGTAGGTATCCCATCTGCCCCTTCCACGTGAGTTCTTCATACTCTTCTCAAACAGCCCAGTTCATTGCTGTAGAACAGTTTTGGATGCAGAGAGAGCAATTCAGGTGACTGAAATGCCATTGGAGAAATCAGTCTGTGATAGTGTGCAGGAGTTTGGGGTTGGAAGGAGAAATATAGCTGGCATTAATGGATTCTGGAAATATGTATGATAAATGTTGAAGCTGAGTATATTGCTTCATTCCCTGAGAATGAAGTTTTGCAACTGTGTGTTCTATGGGTTACAAAATGTGTGGGCTTAGGCCACAATTTGTAACCGCATGTAGATAATGTGTATTCCATCTAACAGTTAAAAATGTTGTGCTATACTCAAAGATGTAAATATGTGTGATAATATTCTGTACATTTACAAAATGTCTGGAATACATAACGCATTGCAGTTATGAGCTGTATTATGCTCCTCACAATACAGTTGTAAATACGTGCATAATTTTGCCTTAATTTGCATGAGTTACTTCTTAACCTGCTTGTTCTGTTTTTTTTCCTCATAACATCTTAACCAGGGATTAATCGACAAAAGAGGTTTGGCCAAATCCAAGAGGTAAAGTTATGGAATAGAAACTAGATTGTCTGTATTCATCCATTTTTAAATCCAATCTTGAAGTCAGATAAGGAAGTTGGAGTTCAGCAATAGTGGTCAGACACAATTTCTTCTCCCACACATCTAGGAAATGGCCATTGCTTTTTGTTTGGACAGATTCAAGCACCAGTGAATCTTAAACAAAATGTGTCCATGATAGAGTACATCTGCATTTGACAGTTTTCTGTGGTTTTTTTATTCTGAGTTACTGGATTCATTTGAATGTATTGCTTCATTTTTTCATAGTGCCCTGGCATTGGGCTGTGACCTCAAAAATGTCTATTTGTAAACACGACACCTGAAAAGAAGTTCGTAGCAAAGTAGTCATTTAAAGTTTCAGATAAAAGTAGTCTTGAGAGAGAGTTGGAGGGGAGGAGGGAGTAGGGAAGAATGAATTGTTAAAGCACTTAAAATCAGAGATGATGCATTTTAAAAAGAAGCATTGATTGAAAGATTTTAATTTGCTTCAATTTTCCTTACAGGTGAAGAATAATTCTGAGCATATGATTGAACTTGCCTGTGTTCGTTAATAAGACTGCTCTGCTATTTTGTGAAGAAGTGGCAAAGCCCCAGAAATATCTGTACATTCTTACAATAAACTCCTCCTGAAACACGTTATTGGTTGTCAGTACGTCTGGGTTTGACTTGGTTGTTTTTAAGGCCATGCTCTGTATTTGGTAATTCCTGGTACAGATAGCATGCCAGCGGGAGCTGCTTTTGAAGAGTGAAAGATCTTCTGTCTTCATTGTGTTATCACTGTTTAAAAGTGGTGCTTTGTTGCGTATGTTGTCATATGTGCTGAAGAGAATAGAGATTAATCTTTCTCAATCATGCAGTTGGAACACTTATCTACCTTACTTAAACACAATACTATGACAGTTTCTAGAAGTTTGCATTCCAAAATGAACAAGACAGAAATGGGAAGAAAATGGATATGGCAATAAACATTAAAGCCATCTGTGAGTTTGACATCCAAGACAGGTATAAGCAGCCACCTGCTTATTCAAGCTGCTCTTGATTTGAGTTGTATGCTTAAGTCAGCTGGTCTGGAAACTGTAGCATCAAGTGCTGCTGGATCAGTGCAATTCCTCATTCACAGCTCTGAGCCTGAAATTCCTTAAGCACAATTTTATTTAGAACACTTAAATCGAGCATTTGATTTTACAGAAATTCAGATGCTTTGGCCCTAATGTTCTCTGACTTCGGTGTCGGTGTGGCAGATACAATTGTTTCTGTACATTAAATACTTCTTTGCGAAATCTAAGGAATAGCATGTCTACAGGGAAATTATTTCCAAGTCCTTGAATCTTATGTTAATTCTGTTAAGGATACTTAATGCAGTTACAAAAAGGGCCTGTGTGTTTGCAGGCTTCTAGAACACTCGAATGTTTCTAAGATGTGGGAGGCCAGTTCAGTACTCCTTAGAGCTTCTCAATGGAGTGAAGAGAGGGAGCAAAAAACGCACCTGTCCTAAGCAGTGATGAATTGCAGGGTTTTGTCATGGGTCCAGCTCCATGCTCTACAGCAGGCTTCAGATGGGACTGATCCAAAAGACTAGACTGTTTATTGACTAATCAGCACTCTACTAATCATCTAATAAATCAAGAAACTAACATGTAAACTAACCAACTTCTAATAAAACACCACTCTTACTTAGTTCTGTGCTTCTCATTCCAGTTACACACAATGACTGAGTTTCAGTTCAGCAGTTGCACTACTGGTGTGTATACACCCATTACTGCATGACGTGTTGCTCCTCCCTGCCTGCTGCACCACTAAATAACTATTATTTCTGTTTCTGGATCCTCCTTATTTGCCTTTTCATTCTATGCCTGCACAGTTTTTTTATCCATAAACACTTCTTCCAGTTTTGCTCTCTGTTCCCAAAGATGGTGTTTTTAACCTGGTTACCAAGGCAATCTTAGTCTTACATGCAGTTATTTATATCCTTGCCTGCACTGAGGTATCCATGCAAGGTTCTGCTGACCAAAAGATCCCCAACTCACCTTGAATTATTTAGTTTATTCTGGGGCATTTTACTCAATTCCTACTACAGGCTCTGGCACTGTAGGAAGTACTGAAATTGGAAAGGGGAGGAATGTAATACATCAACTTTTTTTTTTTTTCTTCAAGGGAAAAATATCCTCTACCAGTCTATGGGCTTTAAAATCAATTCTGTTTTCAAGCGCCTTATGTCAAGCTCCTTCCTGTGTCCTTGAGAAGCCTCTCTGCTGTCAAAGGATTCTCTCCATCGGTTTCCTCTCCGCTCCGTGCTCCTCACAGCAGGGAACGCTGCAGCTTGCACAGAAGTGCGAGAAATTGCTCTAAATTTATCGGGATGCAGCGTTAGCGACAGCTGTGCCACATGGTGCTCCGTGTAGCGAGTCTGCACGTGAGTAACGAGGAGGACACGGCATCATTTCACCGCACCTCCAGACGAAGCCCGCTCTACAATCCCCCGCTTTGAGGACAGGACAGCTCAGCGCCCCGCCCCGCCGTCCCCGCGGCGGCTCCGCTCGATGCGATCGGCGTTGGAGCGGCGTTGCCTGGCGCGGGGCGGGGCGGAGCGCGGCGCCAAGATGGCGGCGGCGGCGGCGGGCCCTGCGTGAGCCTCCCGCGGCCCTCCCGGCCCAGGGCGGGCGCGGGCTACGCGGAGCCGAGCCCAGCCGGCATGTGCGAGACGTACTCGCGGTGGCTGCTGCGGGTATCGGTGGCGCAGATCTGTCAGGCGTTGGGCTGGGATTCGGTGCAGGTTTCGGCCTGCGATCTCCTCACCGATGTGCTGCAGCGGTACCTGCAGGGATTGGGCCGGGGCTGCCACCGCTACTGCGAGCTCTGTGAGTGAGAGCGTGCGGGTGTAGGAGAGATACTTCGGGGCGTTGGGATGTGGGGGAGGAGGCTGCAGGGCGGTGATGGGGGCCATAAGGCTAGGAGCAGCGCTGTGGGGTCACAGGAAAGGCAGTTCTGGGCTTGGGGGTTGTGGGAATTAAAGCAGTTCTTTGGGGGTGTGGAAAGGGCAGCTCTTGGCTTGGGGACTGTGGGACGCTGCTGAGGACGGTTGGAAGGAAGGCAGTGTGGAGGGCTGTAACAGTAGGCTTAGGTGAGAGGCAGGTGTGTGATTACAGAATCACAGAATGGTCAGGGTTGGAAGGGACCTCAAGGATCATGAAGCTCCAAACCCCCTGCCACAGGCGGGGCCACCAACCTCCACATTTCATACCAGACCAGGCTGCCCAGGGCCCCATCCAGTCTGGCCTTGAACACCTCCAGGATGGGGCATCCACAACTTCTCTGTACAGCTTGTTCCAGCACCTCACCTCTCTCATAGTAAAGAACTTCCCCCTGACATCCAACTTCAATCTTCCCTCCCTCAACTTAAAACCATTTCCCCTTGTCCTGCTGTTATCCACCCTTTCAAAGAATTGATTCCCCTACTGTTTGTAGGTTCCCTTTAGGTACTGAAAGGCTGCAGTGAGGTCATCCTGCAGCCTTTTTTTCTCCAGGCTGAACAAGCCCAGTTCCCTCAGCCTGTCTTCATAGGGGAGGTGCTCCAGCCCCTTAATCATCTTTGTGGCTCTTCTCTGGACCCTCTCCAACAGTTCCCCGTCTTTCTTGAACTGGGGGCTCCAGACCTGGACACAGTACTCCAGATGGGGCCTCACAAGAGCAGAGTAGAGGGGGATGCTCCGGGTAGTGCTGGGGACTGTAGGGAGGAATTCTGTAGGGTGGTGTTGGGAGATGTGAGAGTAGGAGCAATATTTAAGAGCATAGGAAGAGCAGCCATCAGTTTGGATGCTATAGGACAGTGCTGGGGCTACAAGAAGCAGAGCATAAGGAGTGTTGGGAGCTGTAGGGCTAGAGGTAATTGTTAGGGGGCATAGGTAGAGAGTATGAGTGGTTGGCGGCTATAAGATAGTAATGGGGGCCATGGGATGAGAAACTGTTAGGCAGTGATGAGGGCCACAGGAATAGGAACAAAACTTTGGGGGGATGGGCAGTTGTGAGTTTGGAGGCTGTGGGGCAGTGCTGAGGGCTATGCAGTAGAAGGCTGTAGGGCATTGTTGAGGGCTGTAGAGAAAGGAACAATACTTTGAGGTCAAAGTAAGGGCAGGTGTGGAGCTGGAAGCTGTGGGCTTGTTCAGCTGAGGGCTATGGGTAGGAAAGCTGTAGGGTAGTGTTGATGGTGTGGGATCAGGAGCAATGCTTTAGAAGGGAAGCTATGGTATGGGGAAGCACTAGGGGCCGTGGGGAGGAAAGCTGTAGGACAGTGTTTGGGACTAAGAGAATGTGAGAAATCTTTTGGGATCACAAAGGCAGATGTGCAGTTGGAGGCTGAGAGGTAGCACTGGGAGATGTGAAGAGGAAGGTTTTAGGGCAGTGTTGGGACTGTGGGGGTATGAGCAATACTTTGGGGGCATAGGAAAAGCAGATGTGCAGTTCGAGGCCAAGAGGCAGTGCTTGGGGCTGTGAGGAGGAAGACTGTAGGCTGGAGAGCAATTTTTTGGAGGTATTAGAAGGGCAGCTGTAGAGTGGAAGGCTGTAGGGGGCAGAGCTAGGGCTAGAAGTGACACTTTGGATCATAGAAGGGCTGGCTGTGGGGTTGGAAAATGTGAGGCAGTGCTGAGGGTTGTGAATAGGAAAGCTGTAAGACAGCATTGGGGGCTGTATTGAGCAATACTTAGGAAGGGCAGCTGCAAGGGGCCATGAGGAGGAAAGCATTCAGACAATGTTTGGGACTATAAGGTTATGAGCGATGCTTTGGGGCATAGGAAGGGCAGCTGTCAGGTGAGAGGTTATAGGGTAGTGTTGGGGGACTGCTGGGCTAGGAGCAGTACTTTAGGGCATAGAAAGGATGGCTGTGGAGTTGGAGGCTGTAGCACAGTGCTGGAGGCTGTGGGATGGGAAGCTGTAGAGGAGTGATGGGTCCTTAGGGCTAGGAGCAGTACTTTGAGGTCACAGGAAGGGCAGCTCTGTGTTTGGAGGCTGTGGGGCAGTGCTGTGGGATATGGAGAGGAATGCTGTAGAGCAACATTGGGAGCTATGACGATAGGAGCAATAATTTGAGGGCATAGGTGGATGTCCTGTGGGGTACTTCTGCATGTTGAGTGTCTGGGGAGTTGGTCTTTGGGCAGCTGAGTGAGAGGTGAGGGGATGGAAGAGGTCAGGCTGTGGGCTAGTGGGAGATGGGCAAGGATTTGGGACCATAGAACTGTAGGTGTGGGGGTAATTAAGCTTTGAAGTAGTGAGGAGATGGGGCTGCTGCCTCCCTTCCTCTGTCTGTGTTGTGTAGGGTTGGGGTGTATGTGTACAGGGGAGGATATAGGGGTTTTGATTTTGGGAAGAGGATGCATATGCAAAGAGAGCACAGGGATCTGTGCTTGTGAGATCAAGAATGTATGTGTGAAGGGTGCCATGCAGCTTGGGTTGAGGGATTAATGTATATCAGGGCAGTGTGGAGCCTTGCTGGATTTGGGATTAGGAGAACAGAGCTGTTGATAGCATTGCTGGGGCAGAGACATAGGTCAGGAAGCTCATACCAAATGGGAGAAGAGAGAAGGGAGGTTCAGGAGTCTGTGTGAGCACAAAGCAACATGTCTGTGTGGGGATGGTTGAGAAAGAGGGCAACAAATATTGCCCTGGTAGTGGATGGAGGATGACACTGCGAGTTCCTCAGGGCTGACTGGGTCCCTGCAGAGTCCACAGGGAGTGTTTATAGGGAGGCAGATAGCTCTGCAGAGCTTGGGAGTGCTGAAGGGTCTGCTGAAGGTATGTGACAGGGGAATGAGAACAGAGCAGGAGGACTGCCTGTGCTTCAGAGTATGAGCGTGAAGCAGAGAGTGACAGTGTCCTGATGGGTGCGGGTGGGCTTGATGAGGTATCTCAGAGCTATGGAGCCCTAAGAGCAGGGCAGGGGTTGCTGCACTGCTTTGCAGGAGGGGGTGTGTGGGAAGGATGACAAGTGGCAACTCCAGTCCAGTCTATGTGAACTGAATGCTGTACTGGCACTTCTGTTTAACTTATGGGGATGTGAGAGCCACAAAATGAGGGTGACACTAGCACATCTTCAGCAAGTTTGCAGGTGACACCAAGCTGAGTGGTGCAGTTGACACCAGAGAAGGGAGAAATGCCATCCAGAGGGATGTGAAAAGGCTCTTAAAGTGGGTAGGTGAGAAAGTTCAACAGGGCCAAGTGCAAACTATTGCATTTGGGTCGGGGCAGTCCCAGGTATGTTTGCAGACTGGGAGAAGAGGAGCTCATTGAGAACAGCCCTGGGAAGAGGGACTTGGGAATGAAAAGCTGAACGTGAGGAAGCAGTGAGCTCTTGCAGCCCAGGATACTGTTGGCCTTCTGGGCTGCATGAGAAGAGGGGCAGCCACCAAGGAGGGGGAGGTGACTGTCCCCCTCTACTGTGCTCTTGTGTGGCCCTGCCTGAGTACTGTGTCCCGGTCTGGGCCCCTCAGTACAAGGAAGACACGGAGCTGTTGGAGCAGGTCTGGGGGAAGGCCACAAAGATGATCAGAGGAGCACCTCTCCTGTGAAGAAAGGTTGAGGGAAATGGGTTGATTTAGCTTAGTGAAGGCTCTGAGGTCACCTAATTGGGACCTTCCAGTACTTGAAGGGAGCTTACAAGCAGGAGAGGGACCAGGTTCTTATACAGACAGTGGTAGGACAAGGGGGAATGATTCTAAACTAAAAGACAGTAGATGTTAGGAAGGAATTCTTTACTCAGAGGATGGTGAGGTGCTGGCGCAGGCTCCTCAGAGAGGTTGTGGATGTTGTAGCCCTGAAGGTGTTCAAGGCCAGGCTGCATGGGGCCCTGGGCAGCCTGAGCTGGTCGGTGGCAGCCAGCTCATGGCAGAAGTTGAATTGGGTGTGCTTTAAGGTCCCATCCAACCTTAGCAATTCTGTGATTCGGTATCCTTGCAGACAGAAAATACCCCCACAAGATGAGGCTCAGTTTGGTGAAGAGAGGAGCAGACATGGCCTGAAGATGCTGTGCTTGTGGTCCTGTCATCTTCCCAAGGGGCAGAAGTTCTTATTGCATCACTGATCCCCAGAAAAGCAATCTACAGTGATCTGAACAGAAGTGATACCCAGCTCTGCCTTTCAGGCTTGGCTAACCCTGCCACAGATACTCAGTGTTTGCAGGTCTGGGAGGAAAAGATGCAGAGGTGGTGAATGTACAACTTGTGCCTTTCCTTGCTGAAGGAATTGGAAGTACACAGTGGGAGTTAGAAATGAGATACCCCTCTGTACTTCAGGTGCTCTAAAAAGGGGCAGAAACAAAATCTTTTTTTCCTTTCTGTGAATGGAGAAGGAAGTTCTGCTCTGTTTGTTTTGTTTTTAGTTTTTTTCTTCAGTGGAGAAAGGGAATGTGCTGTTTTCATATCAGCAATATGGTATTTCCTTATTTATCTCTCTTAAAATGATACCTGTATTTATTACTCTAAAAGGTTTGTGAAAAGGCACCTTAATGCTCAGCTGACATCCCCCTGATTTCTCGTAATAGTTTCCTTTTGCACCTAAAAGAAGTGGCTGTACAAACCCAGTTCTGGATTAATGAGTTGAATTTCACCATGGTTTTGCATAAGTAGAATTAATTAAATTCCAATTGTAGCATCTTCATTGTCAGTGTGTTATCTCACAGTCCGACCAGTTGGGGTTGAGTTAGCAGGGCTGTCAGCTGGAGGGACATAATCTTTGTATTCAAAACTGAATGGATTTACTCTGACGTAATTGAGGCAGTGTGGTATTGCTTTGAAAAGCATGTCATCGCCGTTCACATATTTTCTCAGTTGCAAAAGAAAATGATGGCTTTCCCAACTGTGTTAGATCT